ATGGACTCAGTTGTGCAGGTAAGTGATGTTTTCCTTTGGTTCCTTTAAACGTAAACGAGACCGTCGTCTTTTCTTGGCATGTCCTATATCGGCAACAAACAATAACCCTTAATATGATCGCGATAATGACACATTTTTTTATTTGACATTTCAAATAATAATCTCTCTCTTAGACATTGACGAATGCAGTGAAGCTCATGCCGTTAAATTAAACAAATGTCATCCGAATGCCTCTTGTATTAATACTAGGGGCTCATACAACTGTCATTGCAATCCTACTTACACTGGAAATGGTTTCAAATGTACAGGTACGTTCGGTTTCTTTGAGGCAATTTAAGTTCTATTTTGTAGCTCAGCTTTAATTTAAAAATAAATTGCTTACAGCTGTCTTTCTTCCGAAACATGAAAAGCGGGCGAAATTCTCCTTCATAGTAGCGCAAACGCAAAAATGAATGATCTCTTAATTATGTTTCAAATGGTTTTAAAAAAATTCGTACAAGAAGTGTCCCATAATGCAAACATGATTCTCTCCCTACAATCCTTAAAGCTTTAGAAAATCCCTTATTTGAGAGAAGTTATAACAATAGCAATTATATAGTTATTTGACGTGCTGTCATTACAGAAACTTAATTTGTTGATCGTAGCAGACAGAGGCATCACACACGCAGAGGAACAGTTATTGAAAACAAATGCAAATAAGGAAAAAATATTTACCTTTGATTGATCAAAATTTTTTTTAAATTTATATTGAACTTTTTCAGCCGACCCATGTTATCATTATCAAAGCTTGAGTGATGCCACTAGAAAGAGCAGTTACATAACACCCCAGTACCAAGAGGTTTGTGACGACCAACTCCCTGAGGAAAGGTATCGTTTTGTGGGAGCTGCGGGAACAAAAATGCCAACAGCACGTGTGCCCGCATTTAGATGCGGTACATCCTGGTCAGGCTGGTTGGATGGTGCTCATCCTACAGTGGAAGATGGTAATGTCTCCAGGACGGTCTGCTTTAGTGATCGTTAATCTGGTTGTAAAGCCATAAAGAATATTTCTGTGATAAACTGTGGATCTTACTTTATCTACAAACTTTTTAGGCCACCAGATTGTTATATGCGTTACTGTGCTACAAACTGAATGTGAAGCAAATATAGTTCGCGTAATAAGAATTTACATAAATAGATCTTTATGACTTTGCATAAGGTATGTAACATGTAACTTAGTTAAATTGGGGCCTTTCCCCGTTAGCGACAAATCTTACAAGTACGTGTGGTTTGTTGCGACTCGACAAATTTTGGCCGAAGCGGACAAATCTTCAAAAGCACCACAGACAAAATTTTTCACGGGTAAAAATTGGACAAAATCGACTAAATAAACAAAAACGTGATAAACGTGTCAATCATTCGTCGTATAAGCTACAAGAACCGTGTAATTGAACTGAAATCAGTTTCTAGAAAGGGAAAATTGTCTTTTGCTGCAAAACTCAGTAATTCTAAACTTTTTATATGGCTGAGGATAAATCCCTGAAATTGGAGGTGGAATCCTTTGGCAACTATGCTTGCCGCTCTCGTGAACAGATCAGGCGCTGACGGAATTTTACGGCTTTTACGGCTGACGGAAAAAAAATGGCAAGACAAAATTTGTCCCTTGATTTTGTCGGGATAATTCTAGTTTTGTCCGTTAGTGGGGAAAAGCTCAAAGGAAAACGAATAAATGGGTATGACGGTCAAAATCTGATAGCCCTGGCAAATGATTCCTAAGTTTGACATTTAATTGTGCCTTAGTATTTAGAAGAGTTTTAACTAACCTCCAGAGTCACAGTAAAATAATTTAACGGCTTAAACCTGTCGAGACTGTGTGTCAAAATGGATCCTTTAAATTCTAGGCGGATTCCAAACCGGAATTGATGATCACCATGAAAATGGCGTGATGCAGTTTCCGTCCAGATGATTTATATTTGATATTAAAATTGGAGTTTGTTTATCTCAGTTTCACGCGGTGAAAGTCTCAACTTTTTTGTCCTGATAAAGTAGTAGGAATGAGCCGTATATATAAAGATATACAACAAATCCATTATAAAGAGCGAATAAGGACAAGGAAAGAAAACCACGCCTGAAAAACCACTGCCACTGCCTGATATTTCACTATTCTATGACTGGCTAGTCTTCGATCCATTTGATGTTCATTTGTCTCGCGCTTTTAAGGAGAGACCTGAAAACACAGCAAACAGGTAAAAAAACTGGTGAGTTTTTTAACAACATCAAAATATCGAAAAATCGTTGGTGGTATTTACAAACAAGAGTGATATGAGCTGGATCACTTTGTGGCTCAGCTTCTTGAGTGGTGTAAAAAGACGGGCATCGTCTCATCATTTAACAAAAATGGTGTAAATTCCTAATAAACACATTTATTTAGCCTTGCATGTAAATGGACCAGTCTCAGTTAAGTGTCTTAACGGGAACACGAAAGTAAATGTTACAGCCAGTCGACTAAACATAACAAAGTAAAAATAACAATGACAAAAATAACGAATAAAAAGATTTTAAAGCGAAGAACACGTAAAGGAAACTACAGGATGAATCGGCATTTTCGACACTCAACTGAAAACTGAACTACAAGTAAATTTAATCTTCATTTCCGATGTCATAATTTAAAAAAATGCTGTAAACCTTTTCTGATTCATTAGCAAGAAAGAATTCACAAGTAATGTCATAGTTCGTTGTCAATTAAATACACAGAAGGGCATCTGCTTTGATCTCTGCCTTTGTTAGTGCTAAGGGTTTGTAATAACATGCTAAGAAACAAGGGGGGAGGATTGGGATGGGGAGTGGGGAGGGGGAGGTCTACAATAAAGAAAAGATGGGACAGATCACTGTTATCTTTGGGAGCTAGGAATAGTGAGGACACGATTTTTAACATTGAATATTATAACAGAAGACGGTCAGTGGAGGTTACATTCGGCAGGTAACTTCGCAAATTTAGCATTTCTCCTCGATAAATTTAACAATCGGAGCAGTGGCCTAAAAAGGTCTGGTAATAAATCAATCTCTCAGCATAAGCTGTAAATCTACCCATTACCTAATTTTATTATTTATCCTCTCGATGTTATCTGTTTGGCAAAATGGAGTGGATAACGTTCTCGCAGAAAACGAATTGTGTGTGTACTTGCCGATATTACTCTGAAAAAAAAACAACAAACATTGCGGAAAATCTCAAAAGTAACGCCCAGAGATTTGAATCACACTGGGAATTCTTCCTCTGTATATTTATTCAATTGAAATAATACTTTTTCACAATTGTTGTGCCAAATTTCAGTCTTAAGTCAGACTTTGTGAAGGTATAACTATGTTACGAGCAATTTGAAAATTCTAAGCTTCTTACGCGGATGAAAGAGTGACCCAGAAAAAATTAAAAACGGGCTTCTATTATTACCAACGTTTTGCGTTCAAATAAAAGTCATCAATACCTTTTAGTGCCTGTCATGTCTGCCAACTTAAAACGAAGTGGGCAAGGATTTATAAACATTGTTTATTTGGTCAATAATGCGCAAAAATCATACTGAAAACACCTGCTGACGTAAAGCCATAAAATTTATCAATTTACCTCTGTTTACTTTGAAAAATGGATACCATGAAAATCATTAATACTAGCTAATGTCTTCTTCGATGACTGAGGAAGTTTCGAGTCAAAAACTATACAACGTTCCTCAACGCTAAAATATAATTGTCCGTGGCCAAATATGATCTTAATCCGATCGTTGATAATACATCCTTGGTTTAACAATGGATCGTGGAGAGACTTAAGGAATATATTATTAAAAAAATGGCTAATTTAGACTGTTTAGTCGAAATTTACGTCATTTTCCAGCGGTTTTGCGAAGGGAAGAATAATGTTGCATAACACCTGGTACGTATTTTGTTGAATATTTTTCTTAATATTATCCTCTCTGCTCACCTCCCACAACAAGGAGCCCAAACAAGAACAAGGAAGTTCTCTTTACGTGTTAACTATTATTATAGCTTGAAGCCAATTTCTATTCCTTAAATTAAGAATCGACAGTTTGCCTGCATCTCCTCAGCGTATTTCTGCTTCCTATAGCTACATGGGGTTTTTCTTAACTCTGGAATCAGGATTCAGGGAATTTTTGACGGTAATGCTGCTTTCAAACAGCCCACATAACCAGTTTTAATATCTACTTTTCTTACTGCTCTGTTTACTCTATGAAAACCTCTGCATGATTATTTCTTTATGAGATACTTAATATTATGGCATTAGTAAGATGTATATTTCTCCCTTTAACTCAAAAACAATCAAACAAACTAAACAAGAGTAAACGACTGTTAAGCAAAACTTATTTGTGCATAAGCAGTAAAGGCTTACCCAGAAAAATATTCAGTAGAAACGGGCCTCTATTATTATCACATTTTGTGTTCCAATGAAATTTATTAATACCTCCTGATGCTGGTCATGTCTGTTTACTTAAAACGAGGTGGGCGAGGATTTCTATTAATTATTTATTGTGTTAAGAATAAGCGAAAACACCAACTGGCGTAATGCCAGTAAAATCATCAATAATTTCTCTTAGTGTTCCTCAAGGACTGAGGGAGTTTTCTTACTAAAATAATACATCGTTCCTCAAGGCTAAAAAAATTTTTTCGCAGCCAAAAATAATCTTAGTCTTATCGTTGATAATACATTTTCGGTACACGGTTGAGTTTACTTGGTATAACACCGGATTGTGGAAATAGTTAAGGAACATCTTATTAACAAATGGCTAAATGCTAATTTAGACCGTTTAGTCAAATCATTTGAATGATTTGAAATCGTGATAACAAATGAGTGGTGTTTATTTAATTTTTATAAATACATGTCTATCTACAGAAATACTTTATTATCGTTGCCATTTTCCAGCGATTTTGCAAAGGGAACGATTATGTTACTTAACGTCTGGTACGTGTTTTGTTGAAATGTTTCTTAGTATTATCCTCTCAGTTTACCCCCCACAACAAGGAGCCCAACCAGGAACAAGGAAGTTCTTCTTAGAGTTAACTATCATTTTGGCTTGAAGGCAATCCTTAATACCTTACCCCTAGCAACAATACTGTGATAAAAGGATAAATCAGAGCATCATTACCTCGGTAGCAGTTAGGTGATTAAGAACTTTGCATCTTGAGAGGTAAGAGACGAACGTAGTTGTTACACTGCAAGGGCAGTTTCTATTCCTAAAGAATTTACATTTGCCTGCATCTCCTCAAAGTATTTCTGCTTCCTATAACTACATAGGTTTGTCAGTAACACTAGATGAGCACATTAAAATCATAATTGCACAAAAGGTGAAAACTGCTTTTAAAACTAACGTGATATAACGCAAAATAAAGGTGCTCTTAATATTCTCCTTTAAAGCATTACGTAAACTCTGTACTAACACGATTAATGATGGTTAATTTAAGGCAACGTATTAAAGTCCATATAGTGTGATTATTATGACTTCATCTGGTACGCAGCCAGATTTTTTGGGAGAAATATAACATCTGCTTGTGGCGTTCCGTTTTTTATATTTGCAGCCCCTGTACAAGAAAACAAGCATGTATTGGATATTCCGCCAAGTAAGATTCCTCCTCTACGTCTCTGCCATAAAGTCTATCACAGCTAATGAACAATGCAGGACAGAAGTAAACATACAAGGAATGGCTCTCAAGTGCTATGTCTTCAAAAGATGGTCAGTGGCGGCTCCTCACCTCTGCGATGTCAAATGTGGACGAGAGATCGCGTGCCAAAGCTATAACTACAATAGAAAATATCAAATATGTGAACTGAATAACCGCACTAAGGAGGCGAGGCCAGAGAATTTCCTTTCCACGCCCGGGTGGTTTTACATCAGGCGATTGAACGGCAGAGGTAAGAAATCAGAAGTCTATGTGTCTCGCTGATTTTTGTTCCTTTAGGTTTTCTCCATACTTAGCCAACCTTGCTCCCTCTCACCTATAATTTAGAAATAATAATAGGAAGAAAAGTAAACTCATATTTTCACCGCAGTTCCCTTGGGTTCTGTTCCTGAATTACCGGCGATATCCTGTCTCGAAATAAAAGCAAGTGAACGCGAAAACACTATCAGCGGCAAGTACTGGCTGGATCCAACGGGGCACTGGGAAGGCAATATTGATTAACTGCGATATGGCTATCGGGGGTAGGTCTTATAGTTTTCTATTCGAGTTATTTTACATTTTTATCACTATGATGTTTTTGGTTAGTATCAGTTCTAGGTATATAGAAGCCAATTCTTGGATGTTGGCTATGGAAAGAGAGTTTTAAAAATATCTTGCACTCCTGGGAAGTAATTACGTGATGTCCTAATCCCATGATATCACTCTGTGGAAGGTGGGGATAAAAAAAAATCCCTAAAAGCCCGGATAGTAATATGCAGTTGAGGTTCAAACAGCTAACGCTTTGATGAGCTTTTAAAGCAACAGAATGTATAACTTCTCATTTTTGCTATTACTTAATTCTTAGGTCCTTTCTACATCATTATTGTCCAACACTAATATTTCCTCACATTTTACTTTATGCATAGATGTAATTTTGTTAAAAAAAAAAAAAACCAAACAAGTACCATCTGCTTGCTGTTGAACGGATCGACTTACAAAATGCTAAGAAAACGATTTTACTATTTATTTTACAACCAATTTTCTAAGGTTCATTTAACTCTGTAGCCGATCCGTGTGTTATGTATAAAAAACTGAGCGATGCCAATCGAAGAAGTAGCTACCCTACGCCCCCATCTGGACCAGCGTTGTGTGATGATCAACTCCCTGAGGAATGGTATCGTTTTGTGAGAGCTGCAGGAACAAAAATGCCAACAACACGTGTGCCAGCATTCAGATGTGGTACAGACTGGTCAGGCTGGTTGGATGGTGCTCATCCTACAGTGGAAGATGGTGAAGTACGCAGGAAGGTCTGCTTTAGTGATCGTCTCTCCGGTTGCAGATACTCAAACAATATTTGTGTGAAGAACTGTGGACCTTACTTTATCTACAAACTTATGGCGCCACCTGCTTGTGATACACGCTACTGTGGTACAGACTGAATATGAAGAAAAAATTTGAAAATTTAGATATTTTTTATGATCGTCATTTTACCGCAAAACCACGGCGGCCTGTTTCAGGCCCACTCCTCAATAACCTCTCGCGCACTTTAGAATTAAAGCCTCTTAAACGTTAAAGCAAGTTGTAAATAATTTGTGGCACCGATCAAGTAAATCTCTGGCAACTTTTAACGGGAATGCCAGATTTATTTCGATTTAATAATCGAAATAAAATTTTGTTTGTCATATATTCACAGTGTAGAATTTTTCAATTTTTTTTTCTTTTAGTAGAGTGATGAAGATGAGCTGTGTGATGCAACATTGATTATCAAGAACAAATATGGCCTAGGAAAGAGAATCCCTCATGGCCACTTCCTGACACTTAAACATCCTAAGACTAGTTTACGACTAAGTTGATGTTAATTTGTCTCTCATTTGCAAGAGGCAACAACAAGGCAAAAGGGGCAAGGCACAGGCGAGTTTATTAACACTAATGAATCAAAATATCGAAAGTCGTTGGTGGGCTTTGCAAAGAAAAATTACATGAGCTGGTTCACGTTGTAGCTAAGCTTTTTGAGTGATGCGAATATACGGGGATCCATATCGTCTGTATAGTCTCATTATTTAACAACAATCCTGCAATCCCTCGTAAATATATTTATCTTGAAATGATCATTATCAGCTGAGTGTCATAACGCGAACACGACAGCAAATGTTGCGGCCATTCGAATAAATATAAATAATCAAGCAAAAATAACAACAACGACAACAACAACAATGATGACGAAGAAAATGAAAAATAAAAAGATTATAAAAAAAAGAAGAGAAAAGGGAAATTAGGCGATGGATCAAATTTGACACTCAAATCCTTTTCAGTGAAAATAATATTGCCATGTTAGGCAGGTTATTATTATTATTATTATTATTATTATTGTTGTTGTTTTAAGTTGCTTCTGATTCCTTAAAAACTGGTAAGAATGATAATTTTGTCATCGAGGAGAGTTGTCGAAGGATCTTCAACGAAATGTGAAATCTGTAAGACAGGAAGTAACATTTCAAGCTCATCGTTTTGACCATTTTTCTCGTTTGATTATTTGATTAGAGTGATAACTCTGATGGAAGCTTCTGTCATGGACCAGAGTCGGCCAAAGGATCTTCAAAACTAACTCGAAATCGGCAGTCTTCTTTTGCTGTCATTATCGACCATAGTCACTTTAGTGTAGTTCAGTAGACAACCAAGATGTGTTATTCTGCATTTCAAGCATGGACACAAATAAATTGGTATGACTGTCAAAATCTGATGGCCGGCTTTCGCAAATGACTCGCAAATTTGATCAGGTAAATGTGTCGTAGTATATTAGAGGATTAAACCAATTTCCAGACTCTCGGTACACGTAAGAATAATTTGATTTTTTGAACCTGTCGAAACCATTTGTCAAAATCAATGTCTCCGAATTGATATAGATTTGTCAAAATGGATACCTTAAACCCTGGACTGATTCCGAATCGGGAGTAATAATCATAAAATGGCCTAGCGTAGCTTAACGCGCGTCCACTTCATTCTTTCCAAATAAGCCTGTTAGAAAGAAAAAAAAAACGGCAGATGTTGGCTTCGAAAACAACAAAATTGGAGGAATCTTATAAAAGCTGTCCTCTCTTTTCAAGCATGACGCTTACATAGAACATAACACACGCAACAAGCCGAGTACATGTATTAAGAGGAGCTACAAGTCGAAAACAATTATTTAGAGCTTGCATATGTTAAAGCAAGTTTTAAATAAATTGTTACACCGATCGAGTAAATCTTCCGCAAATTTTTACAGGAATGGTAGATTTGTTAACGCAACAATTTTTTTTTTAATCATCGTTTAACATATAATTTTTCAACTTTTTTCCTTTTAGTAGAGTTATATAGAAGAGCGTATGCTGCAACATTAATTATCAAGAACAAATAAGGCCCAGGAAAAAAATCCCTCGTGGCTACTGCCAGTTGTTTAAACATTCTAAGTTGACTAGTTTTCGACTTATTAAATGTTAAAAAGTCTCTCATTTAAAAAAAGAAGACCTGAACACGAGGCAAATGGGGCAAAGCACAGGTGAGTTTGTTAAGACTAATGAATCATAATAACGAAAAGTCGTTGGTGGTCTTTGCAAAGGAATATGATATGAGCTGGTTCACCTTGTAGCTAAGCCTTTTGAGTGATGCAAATATACGGAGGTCCATATCGCGTGTGTAGTCTTATTATTTAACAACAATCCTGGAACACCTTTTAAACAGAGTTATCTTGAATGTATCATTTTCAGCTGATCGTCATAACGCGAACACGATGGCAAACGCTACGGCCATTCGAATGAACATAAATAACCAAGAAAAAATCACAACAACAACGACAAAAACAACAATGATGACAAAGAAAATGAAAAATAAATAGATCATAAAGAAAAGAAAAGAAAAGAAAAGGGAAATTAACCGACAGATCATATCTGACACTCAAATCTTTTTCAGTCAAAGTAGTATTGACATGGTAGTCACGACTTCCTGCACTTATTACTATCATTATTATTATTCTTCAGTTTAAATCGCTTCTTATTCCTTGAACACTTCAGCAATAACAAGCAAAGTATAAGATAAACTGGGTAATTGGTATTCTTAAGCTTCTTTCCTCGTTATCATATTCCCACCTGTAGCGCAACTCCATTTTCTGCATATAAACCCACAATCGCTCTGAAGAAGGGCTAACGCTCGAAACGTCAGCTTCTAACTCTTTACAGTGGCCAATTTACGTTATCAACTCAGTTGATAATACGAATTACCTTGTTATACTCTTCCACCGACGCATGGCACTTGCGTCAACATGACATAGCTTGGAAATTTGCCCATAAAATCCCAAAAAATATTACGACACAATTAATAACTCGCCTAAACGTAAAATGATCTCTTCCTTCAAACTTATCTAAGATGCTTGAAAGAATATGCCAGGGCGACGAGCCAACAGGTGAAAGAGAATCACCTGCAAGCATCTTAAATTGTAGAGAGGACGTTGACAGCGATGATAAATGAATTCGCTTTAAAATCGAGTCCCTTGACCGAGACAAACTTCATGTTCCAACAACTGTTTTCTAAATAACCTTAAATTGTTTCTTGAAAAGAGCTTAGAAAATTAATAAGATGAAAAGGGCTGCCAAGAAAGGCTCTTTCATGCACAAGCACTAAAGTTTGCTTAGAGGCCTTAAATTTAATAAATTAGGCCACCCTTGTATAAACATAGGTACAATAACAATTCGGACAAGAGTTTCCAGGAGTAGAGTTTAGGACCACACAATTCCTACTTAATTTATTTAAAATTATATTTTTGTTCATATCACAGTTTAGCGATGTTAACAATTTCGAGCAACGCAAAGGGAGGAAGCAAGCAATAATCGTTTTTAATTGATAAGATGGTCGATCGTTTATTAGCTTTTAATACATATCATGGTACTACCGACATAATTTTCAAAACACTTCTCCTCGTAAATCTAATGATGTTTAAAACAAAACGGCATAAATTCAATAACGTAATGATTAATGAATCTTAAAAGCGATTCAAGAAAATTTCCAATTGAACAATAAATTTTCAATTTTTCTGCATTATTACCATATGAATACTGCACTGACAGCGGCTAATTAGTGTCAGGCTGAAGCGTACGTAGTTGTAAAGTTTCTATATATTATTGAATATTTGATTCAGCTTTCATCGCGTTAACATCCGTTACTCATCTTTTTCGAAATTTTTGCTTGCCATTTCATCGTAGTCGTAGCAACTGCTTTGATGAAGAAGAGCATCTGTTCATTGACTCGGTAGAAGTAAGGCGCTCAAGGATTTTGCATCTTGAAAGGTAAGAGACGACCGTAGTTAATACACTGCTGGAAAAATTTCTGTTCCTTTAAAATCTACATTTACCCGCATCTCCTAAACTGATTTCTGCATTTTAGAATATGATAAATTTTCTCAATTTTTGAATTACAATGTGGTGTATTGTTGGCGGCAAACTAACGAAAGATGCTTTTGAAAATACCAGATTACCAGTTTTGATAGTTTAATTTCTATGTTATTATGGGTATTCCATCTGAACCTCCTCATGATTATTTCCTTAAGTAACAATTGCAAGCGTCTACAACCCCGAATACTTCTCATTTTACCTCAAAAACCGCCACATAAAACCCAGGCTAATGTTTCAAGCTAGTCAAAAGATTCTGAACTTGTTGCAATCACACAAGGAATTCCTTAAAGTAATAAATTAGTGTTTCTGAACAAATGAGAGAAGGTCATTTGTTTAAAATGAAGGCTTACTCTTAGGATATATTTTGTTTTTTTGGTTACTAAACTGTTTAGTTAAATGATGGGGAAAAACTGCAACACACAAATGAATACATATTTTTTTTTACGAAGATTTGAATAAACAAGAGCTGATAGATAACGTTCTTCTTTAGTTCCCTTAAACTTTAGGAGGAAAACTACTATAACGTCTGAAAAACGTGCTTTAATGGCATGTCTCATGTGACATAAAGACAAATATTTTCAAAATTATTTCACAATTCTTTTTCTGAATATGGCCCTTATTCTCAGATACTAAATAAGATTGAATAACACTGCCAAGAAGAGCTCTTCAATGCAAAAGCGCTAAAGTTTGTCCGCAAGGTTTTTTTAAACTTTAAAAGGGCCACGCTCCACTAGTGCGCTTGGGCGCTGTTTGTATTGTTGTTATACAGTAACTCGCATTAGAGTGTGTCTTAGAAGTTAGAAATTTCAGAAATTAAACCAC